CCTTCTAGAGGGTGGTGAACATGAGACTTGTTCCTTACTTGCAGTGCTGCCTATTCCCCATTATTTTCTCCTTGCCAGTCTTCTGCCTTGAGCCCAGCCTTCTTTAAATGTAACGACAGAAATAGTTGTGCTATATAAGCAACCAAGTTCTTGGTTTTCTTTATGATATCTTTATTTTACAGAGTGTAACGTACTATACTTTGTTCTTTCCATTTTTTTGTGGATACTGGATCCTGGCTCTTTTATTTTGAAAGCATAATTAGTACTTTTACATTCTCCATTTTTGTTATCTGGTGCAATAAAAATCCCAATATGTGTGTTAAATGTAAGAAGGTACATTATTTGAAATCAACAGGAGACTCCATTCCTGATGTGTCCAGATTAATGCTTACATGTGTTAAATAGCTGAATTTGTTTTGCGTAAGTCACTTGAACTCTGTGGGCATTGGTTAAGTCTTTATCTGAGAACATGAGAGGACAATAACCTTACCTTACATTTCAATCACTGCTTCAGGATACAGCCTGTCTTGTTTAAAGGCCATGCTAGATTTTTATCAGTCCTTGTATATAAATGACTGATGTTTGTTATAGGGCTCTGAGAGTAGCAAGTACTCATTGTGTAATGAAGGATAGGATGGATTTTTCTGGTGTTATTGGCTCTCATTGGAAAGTCATAGGCTGCATGCCATCATCTTAAAACTATTAATACCCATTTTATCTTGGTATCTTTTCACAATCTAGTCTATTTAACTTATTTGATTCTTCAAGCTATTAGTGTTTATTTGTATAACTAACACCAAGAAATTTGAAATGAAAAAGTGGGAAAAGAAGAGTAAAATCTCATGTGAATCTGTTAATTTGTTAGTCTATCTAACAAGTAAAATTATAGCTAAAAAGGCTTTCATCTCAACTTTCAAAAAAATTTTTTTTGACAGGCACAGTTAGACAGTGAGAGAGGCAGAGAGAAAGGTCTTCCTTCCGTTGGTTCACCCCCCGAGATGGCCACTAGGGCTGGCGTGCTGTGCCGATCCGAAGCCAGGAGCCAGGTGCTTCCTCTTCGTCTCCCATGCGAGTGCAGGGCCCAAGGACCTGGGCCATCCTCCACTGCACTCCTGGGCCACAGCAGAGAGCTTTTTGCTCTGGTGTAACCAGGAAAGATTAAGTGTAAAAATTAAACAGAGATTGTTCAAGGGGAACAAATAGGAAATTTTAACAGAAATCATTATGCAAACTGTGCCCTGGTGATTATTACAATTAGAAATACTGAGTTGAAACACTCAGTGATGTCATTTGGACAGCTTTGGGGTGAAAGTATCTAGTTCCTTGAGTTTAATTTTGTGATTTGCTCCTGAATTCATTTATTTCTTTACAAACAGTTGATGACAAAAATCTGATGTGAAAAACTTTAAGTTTACTTAAAAATATAATTATATTCACTTACTTTAATATTCACCAGTGTGTCACTGCAGTTATATTTGGAGTAATCTCATAGTTTTACATTTTCAGTAATTGAGAATGAATGGCGAGGATAAGAGTATGGCAACAACATGGCACTCTTTTGCCAAAATCAGCAGCATCTTATGTGGAAAAGGCTATAAATACTTAGTTAAAATATTCAGAAGTGTTTTTTCCAAGGGCAAAGCATCCCCTCTTAAGTAATTCCTTAGTTGTTGATCCTGTAAATTTTTTGTAGGAATTTCTTTTTTTAAAAATATTTTTAAAAATCAGGCAAAGTTTTGGATAAAGATTTTTTAACCAGGTCATAGCTTTAATATACAGAAAAATAAACACCCATATATACATAGAGAAACAAATATTGAATAATAGGAAAGAGAATAACCAATTGTATTAAAAAGTAAGTCCTATGAAAATGTGTTTTTACACAGTTTTTACTTATGTGGTGAGACACATTGGGTATCTGTATATATGAAATACATGAAATTTGTTAACCTTATATCAATAAAAATTTTAACACAGAAAAGAGAAAACAGACTAGAAGCATATCTATACAGCTAGGGTGTAAGATTGGAGGTAGAAAAACCTTAGAGTACTTGGCTCTGGAGATACTATTTTTAAAAAATATTTATTTTATTTATTTGAGAGAGTTAGAGAGAGAAAGGTAGAGAGAAAGAGTGAGAGAGAGGTCTTCCATCTATTGGTTTACTCCCCAAATGGTTGCAGTGGCTGGAGCTGAGCTGATCTGAAGCAAGGAGCCAGGAGCTTCTTCCAGGTCTCCCACATGGGTACAGGGGCTCAAGGACTTGGGTCATTCTATGCTGCTTTCCCAGGCACATTAGCAGGGAGCTGCTTGGAAAGTGGAGCAGCCGGGAATTGAAACAGTACCCATATAGGATGCCAGCACTGCAGGCCAGGGCTTTAACCAGCTGTGCCACAGTGCCAGCCCTTCTGGGGATACTATTAAAATTGATTTTCATGTTATTCCTTTTAGCTTACATATTTTCCATAATGATAGTATTACTTTAGTTTTAGTTTTTATTTTATTATTTTAAAATATTTATGTATTTATTTATTTGAAGACAGAGTTGCACACACACAGAAAAAGTAGGAGAGGGAGAGGAAAAGGGAGGGAGAGAGAAAGGGAGGGAGGGAGAGAGAGGGAGGGAGGAAGGAAGAGAGGGAGGGAGAGGGAGAGAGAGAGAGAGAGAGAGAGAGAGAGAGAGAATGAGAATGAATCTTACATCCATTGGTCCAGGCTGAAGACAGGAGTCTAGAACTCCATCTGGGTCTCCCATGTGGGGCCCTAGCACTTGTGCTGCATTACCAGGCACATTAACAGGGAACTACATCAGGAGTGGAGCAGCCTGGTCTTGAATCACCACTCATATGGGATGCCAGGATAGAAGTAGTGGCTTAACCCACTGTAACACAATGCTGTCCCCTCATTTAGTTTTTTTTTTAAACTTTTTTTTGAAATTGATTTCTAAAAGTCACAGTTAATTTTAAAGCATCACATTTATACTAAGGATACATGCATGAGCAAAAAAAAAAAAATAAGCACAGGAATACAAAAGTGAACCTGGTAAACTTTTAAGTAATACAGTATTCTGGATACAAGTAGAATACCACTAGGTAAGAACTGTATTTACTTATGAAATCTATGGTGATATGGGTTGAGATAAACCAAGGTTTAGAATAGTCATTTCACTATTCACATTTATTCAGTGCTGATCAGAAGCTGAAGAATTTCCTTTAGATTAAGACTTGCTATGAAACTAATCTCTCTTGTAAATGAATCAAATTAACATGTTTTAAGGTGCTTCTGTTCTCATTTAAAGGCAGTTGAGGCAAGTCAAACCATGGAGAACCCTTACAAAGAATAAGCACCAAATGAGGAATTGTTGTGGCTTTTGTTTTGGACCACCTTAAATTTTATTTTGCTTATTGTTTTCCATTAACATTCACATACAGATTCTTTCAGGAAAAATAAACTTTTCAGCTTGGAGATCTTGCCAACTGTACATACAATAGTTTTTAAGCAATTAATACTTCACAGTAATCCCAAACTGATATGTAATTAGTTACAATTGTAATATGTAGAACTTTTTCTTTACAGTTTTCTGGTCCCAGAAATTTCAGTAGGGCCAAATGCATTAACTGGAAATAGCATTTGTTTTATTAAAAACAAAACATGAAAGAAGTCTTAATCAAAGATGGTAATAAATAAAATAATATATAGGCTCTCATACACAATCTTTCTAAATTTTCACCCTGTACAAAATGATTACAATGTCCTTCAAGCTTGCTAATTGCCTGTAAAATAAAAAAGAAACCAACAAGAAATTTAACATTTCAACAAGCTATTTACTATAGGCATATATGAACTCCTGGAAAACGTACTATCAAACTTGGAGAAAACACTATTAATAGGTAAGCATGTATTGAAGGAGGCAGTTTATAAATCAAACTTTACAAAGATTATGTTTATGCATACAACTTATAAAATAGAAAAATGTTGCTATTTTTCCAATAGTATAGCATTACACTAACACTATATAGTTAAGACTGAAAGCTTCTGTATACACATTCACTAGACCTCCAAAGCAGCATATGCCGCAGACATTCTCATGCCTTAATTTTATATAGCATTTCTAGGCTTACAGGAGAATAGTGCATGAAGGGAGCGGCCGAGAGCTGCCCTAAAGGTGGCCTTGATAAGATAGAAAAACAGGAACTTCGACCCAGTACTTTTCCACTGACTATACTTCCTCACTCCTCAACGACCCCCTCCCCTTGTCCAAGCTTAACAAAGAAACCACAAGGCACGTAGGGCACGTAGCCACCCGTTTCTCCTCCTCAACGACCCCCTCCCCTTGTAGTTGCCCAATGAACTCACACCACCCTCTGGTATGTTAATTTTGTGGTTTTGCCCCTTAAAAGCTGTGTGAGATAACTGCTCGGGGCTCCTCTCTTTCTCGCGGCTTGCGGAAGCCAGCAGAGGGCCCATTTGTGCAAATGAAATAAAACTGCCTCTTGCTTTTTGCATCACCTGGTCTGGAGTCTGTGTTTCTGGGGTCGTCACAAAAGGGCACCGCTTTTGGGGTCCTTCATTTGGGAGCTTGTCCGGGATTTGGGGGACCCCAGACTCCCACACTCCATCGGCCTGACGGAGGTAAGTTTGCTTACTTGTGTATTATTGTAATTGTGGTTTGTACTGTTTGTCTTTGTCTGCCAGGGCGACGTGGAATCCGTCCTGGGGCGCCTGTACAGGCTCAGTATTGAGAATACTGGACCAGTGGGGGAGACAGACGTGTCCTGAGACCCCTGGTTCAACCCTGGAGGACGCTCCAGTGGGGGTCTGGGAAGGAGGGAAAGAGGGCATTTCCCTTCTTCCAGTGGAGAGCCTGGCCAGACAGCCGCTCCCTTCTGAAATTTTAATTTCAGTTTTGTCTCGGTCTGTTGCCGCGTGGCTTGTGATTTGTGTTCTGTGTGTCGCTGTTTTTGTCGTTTTTTGTTTCTTACTGTCTCCCCCAGCTGTCGCCATGGGGCAACAATTAACAACACCTTTAAGCCTGACTCTAGGACACTGGAAGGAGGTTCGAGAGATCGCCCGCAGTTTGTCGACTGAAGTCCACAAAAAGGAGTGGGTGGCGCTTTGCACCTCCGAATGGTCCACTTTCGGTGTCGGGTGGCCAAAGGACGGAATCTTTAACCTTGACTTAATTTTGCAGGTTAAAGACCAAGTCTGCCATAAGGGTGGAGGGGGACGTCCAGAACAAGTACCCTATGTCATGGTGTGGGAAGACTTGACCCAGAAGCCCCTGCTTTGGGTTAAGCCTTTCATAGCACACGGAGACACCAAAGACCGCCAGCAGAAAGATAAGGAGGAAGCTGATGAGAGTCCCAGGCTTCCCCCACTTCCCTCCTCAACTCCCCTAACCCCCGTCCCAGCAGAGACCCCAGTGCAAGGTCCCCCGCCAACCTCAGATCTTTATCCCCTGAAAGAACTCCAACCATTGAAATCCGCATGTCCACCCGTCCTTTCGGATGGACAGGAGGACCTCCTCCTTATGGATCCCCCACTGCCATACAACCGTCCGGCACTGAGGGAGATGCCTCCCTCTGCCCCGTCCCCGGACTCTACAGTCCAAGAATCAGGGGTACCACAACCCACTTCCCTACGAGACCCCTCACCGCCAAGTACCTGCCTGCGTCTTCACCGAGAGCAGAGGGGGGGGGGGATTTTGGGCATCCCAGGCATTCCCATTGCGTTCAGTGGGGGGGAGCTTCAGTATTGGCCATTCTCCGCGTCAGATCTCTACAACTGGAAAACCCACAACCCCCCATTTTCGCAGGACCCGCAGGCCCTCACGGACTGATTGAGTCGATTCTGTTAACCCACCAACCCACTTGGGATGACTGTCAGCAGCTTTTACAGGCCCTCCTGACCACGGAAGAGCAACAGCGGGTTTTCACAGAAGCCCGCAAAAATGTGCCGGGGGATGACGGCCGCCCCACTCAGCTACCTAACGAGATTGATGAGGTGTTCCCGTTGACTCGACCAAATTGGGACTTCAATACGGCAGCGGGTAGGGAACGACTCCGTCTCTATCGCCAGGTTCTCCTGACAGGTCTCTGGGGGGCAGGAAGATGCCCCACCAATTTGGCCAAGGTACGTGCGATTGTGCAGGGTAGTGAGGAAACTCCGGCAGGATTTTTAGAAAGGCTAATGGAAGGATACAGAATGTATACTCCCTTTGACCCACAGGCCCCTGACCGGCAGGCTGATGTAATCATGTCCTTCATTGGACAATCGGCCCCAGACATCCGCACAAGGTTATAGAGGCTGGAGGGGTTGCAGGGGTATACACTGCAGGACCTAGTTAAGGAGGCAGAAAAGATTTTCAATAAAAGAGAGACAAAGGAGGAAAGAGAAGAGAGGTTACGCAGAGAACAGGAATGTAGAGAAGATCAGAGAGATAAAAAAAGAAACAAGGACTTAGTTAAAATCCTGGCCACCGCAGTCACAGGACCAGAGCAGACTAAAGGTAGACAAGATAGGGATCTGGGAGACAAACGGAGGCCACGGTTGGACCGAGACAAGTGCGCATACTGCAAGGAAAAAGGACACTGGGCTAAGGAGTGCCCGAACAAGGGGCAGCCAAGGAGCCAGCGGAGAGCGACACCCATCCTGGCGCTGGAAGACGACGACTAGGTAGGTCAGGGCCAGGCGCCTCCCCCTGAGCCCCGGGTAACTCTAAAAGTGGGAGGCCGGCCAGTCACCTTCCTGGTCGATACGGGAGCCCAACATTCGGTCCTCACAACGGCCGGAGGCCCCCTTAGTTCCAAGACATCATGGGTCCAGGGGGCCACCGGAGGAAAACTGTACAAGTGGACTACTGAGCGAAAGGTCGACCTGGCAACAGGGTGGGTCACGCATTCGTTTCTACTAGTACCGGACTGCCCATACCCCCTGCTGGGAAGGGATCTGCTCTCAAAGGTTGGGGCCCAGATCCATTTCCAAGACAAGGGAGCCACAGTAGTCGGCCCCGCAGGCCAACCCCTTCATGTGTTGACCCTCCGGCTGGAAGACGAACACCGCCTTCACGAGTGCCCCCTATCAGCTCAGCCCCAAGTAGCATCTGAATGGCTTACTAAATTCCCTCAGTCTTGGGCGGAGATGGGAGGAGTGGGGCTTGCTATCAGACAGCCCCCGGTGATAGTAAACCTGAAGCCCACGGCCACTCCCGTATCTATCCGCCAATACCCTATGGCTGCAGAGGCAAAGGTTGGAATTCGGCCACACATACAGAGACTAATAAAACTGGGCATATTGAGACCTTGTCAGTCACCTTGGAACACCCCTTTGTTACCAGTCAAAAATCCTGGCTCCAATGATTACAGGCCAGTGCAAGACCTACGGGAATTAAACCGTAGGGCTGAGGACATTCACCCCACGGTCCCTAACCCGTACAACCTGCTGAGCACCCTGCCCCCGACCCGAACTTGGTATACGGTGCTTGACTTGAAAGAGTGCCTTTTTTTGCCTAAGACTGAGTCGCCAGAGTCAACCTCTCTTTGCCTTCGAGTGGAAAGACCCGGAGACTGGGTTTTCGGGACAACTAACGTGGACCAGGCTTCCCCAAGGGTTCAAGAACTCCCCTACGCTGTTTGATGAAGCCCTACACCAGGACTTGGCGGATTTCCGGGTGAGCCACCCAGAGTTGACTCTCCTACAGTACGTGGATGACCTATTGTTAGCTGCAGAGACTGAGCAGGGTTGCACCAAAGGTACGGAGGCCCTACTCCATAGGCTGGGAGAGCTAGGATACAGGGCTTCCATGAAGAAGGCCCAACTTTGCACCCAACGTGTGACCTACCTGGGCTACATATTGGAGGGGGGTCAGAGGTGGCTGACTGAGGAACGTAAAAAGGCCGTAGTGCTCATCCCGCCACCTAAAAATGCTCGCCACCTCAGGGAGTTCTTGGGCAGTGCCGGTTTCTGCCGCCTCTGGATACCGGGTTTTGCGGAGATGGCAGGGTCCCTGTACCCCCTAACCAGGACAAATTCCCCGTTCATCTGGGGAAGGGAACAACAATTAGCTTTTGACAGAATAAAATGGGCCCTCTTGGAGGCCCCTGCATTAAGCCTCCCAGACCCCGCTAAGCCCTTTACCCTCTATGTGGATGAAAAAAAGGGGGAGTGGCAAAGGGTGTCTTGACTCAGAATTTGGGGCCCTGGAAAAGACCTGTGGCGTATTTTTCAAAGAAACTGGACAGTGTCGCCTCGGGGTGGCCCCCTTGCCTCCGCATGATTGCGGCTGTGGCCGTCTTGGTGAAAGACTCGGACAAATTGACTCTGGGGCAACCACTCACCATAGTGGCGCCCCATGCCATCGAGGCCGTCATCCGCCAACCACCAGACAGATGGCTCTCGAACGCCAGGATCACCCACTACCAGGCCATGCTGCTCAACCCTGAACGGGTCCGGTATGGGACTGCTGCCTCGCTCAACCCGGCCACCCTGCTTCCTGAGCCGGGGTCTGAATCACAAGTCGACCACGACTGCCACCAAGTGTTAGCCAAAGTGCACGGGACCCGAGAGGACCTGACCGATCTACCCCTGTCATATGTAGTCACCTGGTATACGGACGGGAGCAGCTTCTTGCACCAAGGTGAGAGAAAGGCAGGGGCAGCGGTGGTTGACGGGGAAACTGTCATATGGGCCTCTGCTCTGCCCCCAGGGACTTCGGCACAGAAGGCTGAACTTGTGGCCCTCACCCAAGCGCTTCGTGCCACTAAGAATCGGAGGGTAAACATTTATACCGACAGCCGTTATGCCTTTGCCACTGCGCATATACATGGGGAAATATATCGGAGGAGAGGGTTGCTAACCTCAGGGGGCAAGGACATTAAAAATAAGCAGGAGATCCTAGACCTCCTACAAGCCCTCCACATTCCAAAGAAAGTGAGTATCATCCACTGCCCAGGTCATCAGAAAGGAGATGACGCAGTGGCCAAGGGGAATAAAAGACCTCCATAGATGGACCCACTTGGGGCATAAAAAGTTAAAGGTCCTACTGGACAGAGAGGAACTAACCTATTTCATAATAGGACTGGACTCATTAGTAAAACAAGCGACAGAATCCTGTGTTCCTTGTGCAAAAGTAAATCCAAAGTGTATTTTTTTTTTTATTTTTGACAGGCAGAGTGGACAGTGAGAGACAGACAGAGAGAAAGGTCTTCCTTTGCCGTTGGTTCACCCTCCAATGGCCGCCGCTGCAGCTGGCGCACCGCGCTGATCCGATGGCAGGAGCCAGGAGCCAGGTGCTTTTCCTGGTCTCCCATGGGGTGCAGGGCCCAAGCACCTGGGCCATCCTCCACTGCACTCCCTGGCCATAGCAGAGAGCTGGCCTGGAAGAGGGGCAACCGGGACAGAATCCGGCGCCCCAACCGGGACTAGAACCCGGTGTGCCGGCGCCGCAAGGTGGAGGATTAGCCTAGTGAGCCACGGCGCCGGCTCCAAAGTGTATTAAAGTACCAGAGGGAGCAAGGATGCGAGGGGCACGCCCAGGAACGAACTGGGAGATGGACTTTACCGAGATTCGTCCTGGTAGGTATGGAATTAAGTATCTCCTAGTATTTGTAGACACTTTTTCCGGCTGGACAGAGGCTTTTCTGGTAAAGGAGGAAACAGTGCAGGTGGTGGTCAAGAAAATCTTGGAAGAAATCTTTCCGAGGTTTGGCCTGCCTAAGGTACTGGGATCCGATAATGGGCCGGCCTTTGTCTCCCGGGTAAGTCAGTTGGTGGCCAAGGTACTGGGGATTGATTGGAAAATGCATTGCGTGTACAGACCCCAGAGTTCAGGACAGGTAGAGCGCATGAATAGAACAATTAAGGAGACCTTAACCAAATTAATGATGGAGACTGGCGCTAGAGACTGGGTCGAGTTATTACCGATGGCCCTATTCTGGGCCCGCAACACTCCCTCTGCGTTCGGGTTAACTCCATATGAGATATTGTATGGGGGTCCTCCCCCAATAGCTGACTTGCTGGGGCCCAGCATTGACTCTTATGCCACTTCCCCTAGTTTGCAGACCCGACTGAGAGCTTTGCAGTTGATTCAGAAGCACGTGTGGAAACCTCTAGCAGCAGTATACCAATCCAAGTGCCTTACAGTGCCACACCCTTTCCAGATCGGAGATTCAGTTTACGTCCGCAGACATCAGTCCAGGACCCTCGAGCCGCGTTGGAAGGCGCCCTACACCGTACTCCTAACAACGCCGACAGCAGTGAAGGTGGACGGAATCGCGGCTTGGGTTCACGCCTCTCACGTCAAAAAGACATCAGAAAAGGAGGGGAGTTCGAGCAAGGACACAAGTGAACCGTCGAGATGGGAACTCCAGCGCACTCAAAATCCCCTCAAGATAAGACTTTTAAAAGCTGCCTAATGTTTGTAATCATTAGCCTGTTGCCTGTACTGCTTATGATTCGCCCCAGTCTCAGTCTCACCCTATCCAGCTCGTCCCTTTCTAACCCCCACGGGCCACAAAAGCTCACTTGGGAGGTGATCTCTCCTTCGGGTAGCGTGGCCTGGTCGACCAGCGACACTTGGGTACCAGGAACGTGGTGGCCTTCTCTCCACCCAGATGTATGCCAGATAGTCCTGGGACTAGATTCCTGGGATCTACCCGATCAGGAAGATATACCCCACAACCCCTCGTCCCCGTTAGACTTCATTCATCCCCTGGGATCCTACCCCGTAGCAGCAGGATGTAGAACCCCTTGCCAACAGCTTTAACAGTAGCAGGCACACAAATTTTAGGATTAAAATTAGTTCAAAGAGAAAATGGGGGAATGAAGGGAGTGGCCAAGAGCCGCCCTAAAGGTGGCCTTGATAAGATAGAAAAACAGGAACTTCGACCCAGTACTTTTCCACTGACTATACTTCCTCACTCCTCAACGACCCCCTCCCCTTGTCCAAGCTTAACAAAGAAACCACAAGGCACGTAGGGCACGTAGCCACCCGTTTCTCCTCCTCAACGACCCCCTCCCCTTGTAGTTGCCCAATGAACTCACACCACCCTCTGGTATGTTAATTTTGTGGTTTTGCCCCTTAAAAGCTGTGTGAGATAACTGCTCGGGGCTCCTCTCTTTCTCGCGGCTTGCGGAAGCCAGCAGAGGGCCCATTTGTGCAAATGAAATAAAACTGCCTCTTGCTTTTTGCATCACCTGGTCTGGAGTCTGTGTTTCTGGGGTCGTCACAAAAGGGCACCGCTTTTGGGGTCCTTCAGTGCAGAAAGTACAGAGTTCTCATATGCCCTTTCTGTCCTCTGTGCAAGTTCTGTTAACATTTCGCGTTAGTGTTCATTCATGTTTCAGTTAATGAACTAACTCTGAGAATTATAACTAACTAAAGTCTGTAATTCACATCAGGATTTACTCTTCATGTTGTCGAATTCTGTGACTTCTGATAAATGCTTGTTATGAACATGTCATTATAGTTACCATATAGAGTAGTTTTAAATCTCTAAAAATTCCTGAACTCTTGGAAGCCACTGGTGTTTTTTCATCTTCACAGTCTGTCTTTACCAGATTATCATGTGTTTGGAATCACATACTATCATACAATTCAAATTGGCTTTTTTTTTTTTCAGAATAATTCAATTTTAATGTTTCTCTAGGTCTTTCCATGGTTTGGTAGCTCCCTTAATTTTACTGCTGCAAATGATACTCCCTGGTGTGAGTGTCACAGCTTATTTATCCATTCACAAATTGGAAAACAGTTTGATGAACAATTGGACCTACATGGAAACTGAGAGAAAAACAGAGAAAGGCCCATCTAGTATCCAGTTATATAATCACACACCAACATTCTCTAAAACCTGGTGATTTCACCTGCTAAATATTTTAAGATTTTTACATGTGTTCATTCAATTGGTTCTACTGTAGTTTAAACTTGCAAGATCTCTGCCTGTCTCATTCAAGAATCTATTTAAAATTTTTGAACGTTTATTTGTTTCAAAGGCAGAGTGACATACACACATGTGCACACACACCCAGAGCACTTCTATCCAATGGTCTACTCTTCAAATGGTTGCAGCAGTCAGGTCTGGGCCAAGCCAAAACTAGGAGCCAGGAACTCCATCATGGTCTCCCTCATGGGTGTCAGGGGCCCAAGTACTTCAGCCATTCTCCTCCACCTTCCCAGGCACATTAGTAGGAAGGTGGTTTGGAAGTAGAGCAGCCTAGACTTAAACTGTCATTCCAGTATGAGATGCTGGCATCGCAGGCAGCAGCTTAACTCACTGTGCCACAACACCAGCCCCAGCAATCTGTTTTTTAAATGAATATTTTCATAATTGAAAAGTTTGAGGAAGCTGCTATTTCCTCACATACATTCTTTTTTTATTTTAAAAATTTTGATTTTAATTAATTTTTAACATTCAATATGAATTGATACATACAAGTCTAAGAGCATAATGATATGACCTTCTTCCCTCCATTTCTCCCACCCTCCTATCTTCTGTCTTTCTTTCTGTCTCTTTTATTTTTTAGTCTTTGAGATGGTGTATTTTAAATCTACTTTTCAGTAAAAAGGCCTAATACTTCACTGAATAAGAAGTTTAACAAATAAAGGCAAAAAAGATCCTAGTTTAGTGTTGAAAGTTTGACTACAATGTGTCATGGTGAAGATCTTTTCTGGTCATGTCTACTAGGAGTTCTGTTTGCTTCCTGTGTTTGGGTGTACCTAACATCAAATTAGTGAAGTTTTCTTTCTTTTTTTTTTAACTTGTATTTAATGAATATAAATTTCCAAAGTACAGAATATTGATTACAATGGCTTCCCCCCCATAACGTCCCTCCAACCCGCAACCCTCCCCTTATCCACTCCCTCTCCCCTTCCATTCATATCAAGATTCATTTTCGATTCTCTTTATATACAGAAGATCAGTTTAGCATACATTAAGTAAAGATTTCAACAGTTTGCTCCCACACAGAAACATAAAGTGAAAAATACTGTTTGAGTACTAGTTATAGCATTAAATCTCAATCAGACCTATTGTCATGTTTAATCCCAGTGAGAGTCAAGTTGGGAGTTGCTAATTTCTTTTTTCTTTCTTCTTTTTTTTTTTTTTTTTTTTACAGAGGATCAGTTTAGTATACATTAAGTAAAGATTTCAATTGTTTGCACCCCCATAGAAACACAAAGTGAAATATATTGTTTGAGTACTCGTTATAGCATTAAATCTCAATGCACAGCACATTAAGGACAGAGATCCTACATGAGGAGTAAGTGCACAGTGACTCCTGTTGTTGACTTTACCAATTGACACTCCTGTCTATGGCATCAGTAATCTCCCTATGCTCCAGTCATGAGTTTCCAAGGCTATGGAAGCCCTCTGAGTTCTCCGATTCTTATCTTGTTTAGACAAGGTCATAGTCAAAGTGGAGGTTCTCTCCTCCCTTCAGAGAAAGGTACCTCCTTCTTTGAAGACCTGTTCTTTCCACTGGGATCTCACTCACAGAGATCTTTTGCCAGAGTGTCTTGGCTTTCCATGCCTGAAATACTCTCATGGGCTGATGACCCATTCTTTCCACTGTCTTCACATAAATTCTTAAGATCAATTCATTTTGTTATTAGATTGTCACATTCCATACAGAAATTCTTACGCATAATATAGTCACCATGCAAACACAGGAGGACTTTCTGAAAGCATCACATTTGAATCCACTGTATACAAAACCCAGACTTAGTTGAGGCTAAAATTTGCTGGTAATATAATGTAACATTTTTGACCACACAAGTGTGTTTTGGGCAAGTGAAAGAATATTTTTTGCTATTTGTTGGTGACAGGAGGGAATGTTATTTATTTTTTAAAAAGATGTATTTTGTGGGGAGCAACTCGGACTAGACTGTTACTTGAATTAAGACTTATTCTATGCATCTGCTCTCCCACAATATGGCGCTGGGAGAGGAGTAAACAGCTTCTACGCAGCTGCCTCTCGCCAACTTGAGTGATGACCAGCAGGAGCTGATCCTGCTCCTGATTTGAGGAGAGCAGCGTACTCGGCGTGTGGGTAGCAGAGTTGGGATTGGTGGAAGAGGACTATAAAGGAGGAGAGAGACAACATGCACCAGGAACATCTAAGGGGAACACCTGAGCAGCCCCCGAGAGAGCCGGCCGGCGGTGTGCCGCTCCCCCGCAGAAGTGGGGAAAGTGGCAGGGGGAACCGCCCTTCCACAGAGGTGGAAGGGACGGTAGCCAACCAGGGAAGAACCAGCAGCAAGCCTGGGGAGGGTCGAGCAGACAAAAGAACAGCGCAGGGTCCTGTGTCGTTCCTACGCGAAGAGGGGGAGCGACAGTATTTATTTATTTATTTATTTATTTGAAAGTCTGTGTTCACAGTGAGGAAGGGAGAAACACTGAGAGAGCAAGATCTTCCATTCGCTGGTATACTCCCTTGGCCACAATAGCAAAGGCTGGGACAAGCCAAAGCCAGGAACTTATTCCAGGTCTCCCATGTGGGTAGCAAGGGCTCAAACATTTGGGTTATCTTCAGCTGCTTCTCCCAGGCCACAAGGAGAGAGCTGGATCAGAAGTGGAACAGCTGGGACATGGACTGGCATCCAGATGGGATGCTGGCGTGGCAGGTGGTGGCTTTACTCGCTACCCCACAATGCTGACCCCAGCAAATGTTATTTCTTTGGCTACAAAAATTTTCTCTTTACTTTAAGAAATAATTTACTTTCATTTTACCTGAAAGGAATAGAGACAAACAGATCAACATGGCCACACACATGCACACACAAACAGATCTTCCATCCTTTGGTTCACTTTCCAAATGCCTGCAACAGCTGAGTCTGGGTCAGGCAGAAGCCAGCATCCAGGAACTCAATCCAGGTCTCCCGGGTGGGTGAGAGCAACCCAAGTATTTAAGCTGCCTCCTACAATGTTCATTAATAGGAAGGTGGCTTGGAAATGGAGCTCGGACTTGAGCACAGGCATTCCATCCATTATGGGATGGAGTACAGGTGTCCCAAGTGCTGTCTTTTTTTTTTTTAGGACTTATTTATTTTTTTGAAAGGCAGAGTTACAGAGAGAGACTGAGAGACTGAAAGACAGAAATAGCAGGATCTTCCATCTGCTGGTTCACTCCTCAAATGGCTGTAATGGTCAGGTCTGGTTCTTGCTAAAGCCAAGAGCCTGGAAGTCCATCTTCCATGTGGGCCTAAGCGCGTGGGCCATCTTCCTATGCTTTCCCATGTGCATTAGCAGAGAGTTGGATCAGAACTGGGGCATCCAGGACTTGAGTCAGCACCCATGTGGGGTGCCAGTATCTCAGGTGGTGGCTTAACCTGCTGTGCCACAACACTGGCCCTCCTAAGTGATGTCTTAACCACTGCACCAAATGCTTACCCCTCTTTGGCTTTTTTGTGATAATCTCT